GTGCCCTTTTCTTAATGTCCCCTCTCCTGCTGCTACCTCTCCTGCTGCTAATCCTCCAGAATTACCCGGTTCTTAAATCTTTGGCCTCTTTTTCCAGCTTAAATCTCTTTCTCTTTCCCAGAGGTGACCCAACCAACCAGAGATCAAAATGACCGACTCCAAGTATTTCACCACCACCAAAAAAGGTAATGCGGCCCGTGGGGTCGATTGTGCCCCTCCAGGTGGAGATAAGGCGGAATCCACACAACGCGCAAGTCTAGGATGAAATGGGGCGAGGGTTGCTTTAGCATGTGGGGTGACCCAAGCCATCACAGGAAGTCCTAAAAGGCTTTATTTACTCGGGTACCATGTGTTAGGTGGATATGACTGCTTTGCTTGGTTATTCTGGGGTCAGAGTTGCGCATGTGTGAATGCAACCTGAGCGGTAGAGCTTCAGCTGAGCCCTGGGTGGGATAGAGAACAAGTCACAGGTTCACATTTTTCTGGATGGGATAATTTCAGGCTGTTGGAGGAAGGGAATCCTGTGGGTTAAATTCTCTAATAATAATTCTCTACACGTAGAAATCTAACGCGTTAGGGAGAAGTGCGTTAGCCACCTTTTCTCCCTGAAATGCATGTTTTCGTGTGTAGAGTGAGAGAAATGCCTCCCCAAGCAAATAATTATCTGCAGCCATGCAGGGCTGCCTTATATCTAGTTCCAGTTTTTAATATTGTGATTACAACAACAGCCCAGGGGAAAAATTAATGATTTAGGTCAGTGTTTTTCAACCTTAGCGACTTTAAGATGTGTGAGCTTCAACTCGCAGAATTCCCCAGCCAGCATTTCTTGACACCGTGACAAAATTACAGCGAAAAATGGCAAAAAATGTACTTAAGCCTACACGCCTATGAAATTACTTTTCCCAGCATCAGAAAGACGGGAAAGGCAATTGAAGACAATCGCAATGTTTTTGCAACAGATCCTTATTTTCAGGAACGCATGCTAGCAATAATACAGAATCGATGATGCAGTTTTCAAATTTTACCCTAGAAATGTATCGACGAGTCATTTGATCTACAGAGTCCAGCGATCATAGATTTGAAGGCGCTGAATTGAAGCCGATGGCTGGAATCAGGAAATAAATTAAATAACGAAAATCTAGGCTGTTGACCCGGTCGACAGATGAAGGAAAGAAAGAGGCAGACAATTTTCAAGGTCACAATACACGAAAGTTTGAATGACTGCTTTTGTGAAAATAGTTCTAAAAACACCAAGATGCTCAAAAAGCCAGACAGTACTTGATTTTAAGGCTATGCCTGGTGGACGAAGGACGTGAGGACGTCTGATAACCTACCCCTTGGCTGTTTTTGATAATTTGGCACAAAGTGTTGACTGCAGGAAGTTTTCAAATTTGGGTCAAGTGACCTTGTCTAGATGAACTAAGACTGCAGAAATTGTGGCTGAGCCTTCCTCCTTGGGGGGGACAGGGTTAAAATTCATTAGGTTCTTTCAGCCTTTGATCTAGTATTCAATTAATGGAAATGACTTGCTTCTAAGCAGACACAGGGAGGCTGTTGTGTGGCTAGGGGTGTGTACTATGCACTTGCAGAATGCGAGTGTGGCAAATTCAATTTAGATTATTACATGGATTTCTATATCTGTCCATATAGTTGTTGCAATTCTGGATGGCAAATATAGGATTAAAGCCAACAATAGTTACAAGTAATAATACAGGTAGTCCTCGACTTATGACCATTTGTTTAACGACTGTTCCAAGTTATGATGGCACTGAAAAAAATGACTTACAACCAGTTCTCACACTTACGACCATTGCAGCATCCCTGTGATCACATGATCAGAATTCAGGCACTTGGCAACCGGCATGTATTTATGATGGTTGCGGTGTCCCAGGGTCACATGATTGCCAATTGCAACCGTCCCAGGGGGCTTCCGATAAGCAAAGTCAGTGGAGGGAGCCAGACTTGCTTAACAACTGCGTGATTAACTTTAACAACCGTGGCAAAAAAGGTTGTAAAATTGGGTGTGACTCACTTAACAACTGCATCACTTAGTGACAGAACTTCCAGTCCCTATTGTGGTCATAAGTCAAGGACAACACAATAACATAATGGCACCCAAGGACAATGGGATCCAGTCCATACAAACACAAATCATCTTAAGAAAAATCTCTTTAATGGGCTCACTCAACCCCCAGGACTGAGCGAAAATCCACATCTTGGATTTTCCCCATGCTGGCTGGGCAATTTTGGGAGATGAAGTCCACACAATCTTAAAGCTGCCAAGTTTGAAAAACACTGACATAAGCCACCTGAACTTCCATTCAAAAGGCAGGATATACATCTGGTAAATTAATCTACCATCCCGGGCCTCTTTTTTTTTTTTTAATGACCTTTGCTTTGGATTTGCAGTAAGTTAATGATTTGTGATTTGTACATGATCTGGCTCTGTTGGCTTTTGAATTGGGACATAACTGATGGCCAGAAGCACAAATTGCAGTTTTGAATGGGGCAAAAGGGGGAAATGACCAGAGGATCATATTGAGGTTGTTTAAATTAATTTTTGATTAGAATTCAATTTTAATTTGGCTGACCCTGATTTCAGCCAAGCACAGCCCTTGGCCCCAAAGAGATTTCAGGGACTTATTTTAGAGTCTGTTGTGTTGTTTTCTCCTTTTGTTGTTCTGTGAGTCAGTTGGAGATGCCAACTGGAATGCCCCCCACCCTACCCCCGAATTCTCTTTTCCCCCGTGCTTTCTTTCAACCTCAGCAGCCCTCTCTGAAAACCTGAATTATAGAAGCGCAACACGCTTGATTAAATCAGCTCTCTCAGTTCATTCTGAGCGCTGGGATTTGCTAATAGAAAGCTCTGGGGCAGGACGGTGCTGTGCCATTTGCAAATCTCAATTCCTCTCCAGGAGAAATATTTGAACTGAAGGCTGAACTGAACAGCGACAAGAAAGAGAAAAAGAAGGAGGCTGTCAAAAAAGTGATTGCGTCTATGACAGTGGGCAAAGATGTCAGGTATGTTGTCCTTGGAGGAAATAAGGACCCAAGCTGGATCCTCTCTGTATCTATTTAATTTCACCATGCAAGAAGCTTATTTTATCAGGACAGAGCTTGCTCCTTGATCTTGCATGGTCTTGATTTTAGTGTTTTGACTGGGGGGTAGAACCACTGCCTATCACTGAGCCTACTGTCTGTATCAGTGGAGCAATCTGGTACTGCAGTCCTGATATACTTGACTATAGCAGATAGTGGATAGGCTCCCTTAGAATGTACCCCAGCTTTCTCTCCAGTCCGTGCTGGTTTTTCGGTGGGTGAGTTATTACAGAAAAGGATGATACAAAAAGTATCTGTAAAAGACTAGAAACGCCAACCCCTGCTGTCTTGTTATTGGTAGCTCCTTGGCTCCTCCTCCTGTGCAAGACATCAGACAGCTGGGCTTTCTTCCAGTCGCATGTGTGCTTCGTTGCCATACTATGGGCTTTCTTTTTTTTTTTTTGGCTAAATCTGGTCTTAGATTTCTCTGGGTCATTGGCCAGTGGTGTTGGTCTCAAACGCAACCGTGACCCCTTAACACAGCTTCCATTTCTCCTTAGTGCTCTTTTCCCAGACGTAGTCAACTGCATGCAAACAGACAACCTGGAGCTGAAGAAGCTGGTGTACTTGTATCTGATGAACTATGCCAAGAGTCAGCCAGACATGGCCATCATGGCTGTCAACACATTTGTCAAGGTGAGTGCACCTGTGCCTTTTGGCTGAGTGGTGCTTGATGGCCACCGGCGAGACGTTTTCAACACGCTTTTGGAGAGCCTACAGAGAGATCCAGCAAAGTCGGCAAACTTCCCCAAAAGGCCTGTTCTGGGTCCCTTGACACCCTGTCCATGACAGTTGAGGGATGATGTGATGTGCTGCGTCAGCATAAACCTGAACCGTCTTTCTGTTCTGGCTTACATGCACATTCGACTTAAGAACAGACCTTGGGAACAGAACTCGTTCTTAACCTGGGGACAACCTGTATTAGGTAACAGAAAGACGGTTCAGGTTTATGCAGACGCAGCACATCACATCATCCCTTAACTGTCATGGACAGGGTGTCAAGGGTATAAGTAGTATTGTGTAATACAGGGTTCCTCAACCTTGGCAACTTTAAGACAGGTGGACTTCAACTCCCAGAATTCCCCAGCCACTAAGGGAATTCAAAGCAATTCTGGGAGTTGAAGTCCACCCATCTTAAAGTTGCCAAGGTTGAGGAACCCTGGTGTAATGAACTCGAACCAATGTGTATTTAACTCGAATTTTGCTACAGTTGGCTCCATTCTTAACTATGGGTTGTCTGTAACCCAGGCATTCTTAACCTGGGGACTACCTGTTCTTTTCAGATTTGTCAGCCATGCTGGTTGGGAATTGCAACCAAACCATTTGGCTAGGAAGTCTACTTTAGAACACTAAGTTTCGGGTCTAAAAAAAAGAATGAGAAACAGTTATTTCAAGATGCTTGAACCTGCAGCTTTCACAGTCTTTGGCAAGCCGCCTCAACCAGAAGTCTAGTAGCTTCTTTTCTGACTAACACATTTTATTAAAAGGCAGAAGCACAGTTTTTAATAAAATGTGCTACAAGTAGTCCTTGGCTAACGATGCCAATTGGGACTGGAATTTCCATCACTAAGCGATGTGGTCATAAAGCACAACATCTCGTGACCGCATTGCTTTAGTGACAACAATCCTGGCACTCCCCGTTGCCGTTGTTAAGTGACGACCGTGGTCGTTAAGTAAGTCCTAGGTGACTTGCAAGCAGGCCGGCAGGCAGGCAAGTGGCTGCTGCCGGGTAGGGGGTGTGTGTGTGGGTGGCCCACGAGGTGCATGAGCACGGCGGGGTTGGGGGTGGCTGCTGCTGGATGGGGGAGAGTGCAAGTGACTTACCAGAGTGACTTGTGACCTTCCCTGCTGATTCCCCATTGATTTTGCTTGTCGGAAGCTGGCAGGGAAGGTCACAAATGGCAGTCACATGACCTTGGGAACACTGCAGCCATCATAATTGCAAGCTGGTTGCCAAGCTTCCAGATCGCAATTACGTGACCACAGGGGCGCTGGGACGGCTGGAACTTTGAGGACCAGTCATGTCCCCTCGTTCAGCGCTGTCATAACTTCAAACGGTCGCTGAATGAGTGGTTGTTAACTGAGGACTATCTGTAGTCAGGAAAAGGGGCTACCAGACTTCTGATTTTTTTGCCGCCCTAGATTAACACGTCTTTCCTTCTATAATATCTCAATCCAGAAATGATTCTTCCCAAGCAATATTTTCAGAGTTCTCTATTTAACGAGATTTGTTGACATGAATAGGATGAAGTGACAAGAATTCCAGCCATTGAACTATTCCCCCTTCCAGACCAACTGATCCCCTAACATATTAGGGTGGAAACGGTTTGATTTTCTTTCTAGCAGCTTTCAGATGACTGGGCTAGGAGCGGAGTCACTTCACTCAGCATCGAGAAGCTTGTGCTGGCAGGTTACAGAGCCACCTCCTGAATCTTTTATCAACCGTTACAGCAGCATCGCTTGCCTGTCAGGCAGGATGACCTGTCCCGCTTCTCTAATTTCCTCTAGGACTGCGAAGATCCAAACCCCCTCATCCGAGCGCTGGCGGTACGTACAATGGGCTGTATCCGAGTTGACAAGATAACGGAGTATCTTTGTGAGCCCTTGCGGAAATGCCTGAAGGACGAGGACCCGTACGTGCGCAAGACGGCAGCGGTCTGCGTCGCCAAGCTCCACGACATCAATGCGCAGCTGGTGGAGGACCAGGGATTCCTGGATACTTTGAAAGACCTCATTTCAGACTCCAATCCAATGGTAATTACCCTCTTTTGGAGCTGAGATAACGTCCTCCTTTTCGCCCAAGGTACTAAAATCGTTGGCTGGATTCGTACGTTGTAATGGTTGGAGAGAATGTCCTTGAGAGATGAGGAGGAGGAGGAGACTAGGCAACGGTCAGATAAGAGGCAGCTGAGCCCGCAGCAGGAATGGGGGCGTGGCAAACGTCTCAGAAGGGACCCTCCCTAGTTTCTTCGATTGTAAAGGCGAGGGGGGAGAGATGCACTTTCAGACTTGCAAGATTGATGTCTGAAAGTACATCTCTCCCCCCTCACCTTTACGTGTGTAGTTGTATAAATTGCATGCCTCAGCCTTGTTTGTGCTAATAGGAAGCAGGGTAGGGGAGTTATGAAGGCCCAGGAGCTGGGACTGAACTTGGTTCTGGAGGGTCGAAATCTAAAGTCACATCTCTGAAATGGAAATACCAGCAAAGGGCTCTGGATCTGAATGGCTATTCGCTTCCCCCCCAATTTCTGAAAAGCACATAATGAGAGGATCATGAGTTGTTAAAACAAAAATCACCAGTTCCATGTTTGGCTGTTACCCAACCATGGAACAGATGGAAAAGGTCTCTCCTGTCCAAAAGACTGTTGCTTCCAGCCCTTTACAGAGGGGGAAGGAAGAGTGGTGAAATCTGAACTCTGGTTGCAGTATAATTCACATCCATTGCTGTAAAAGTGGGCGTCATTGTAATACATGTCGTCCTCATTTAGCAACTGCCTCATTTTGTGACGGTTCTCAGTTACGATGATGGTGAAAAAGTAACTTTGCAACCAGTCCTCCCATTTATGACCTTTGCAGGTCTGTAAAGCAAAGGAAAGCTGAAGCCAAATTGTAAGCATAGTTGCAGTTTCACTTAACAACCAAGTTGCAGGTCCCAGTTGTCACTAAGTGAGGACTCCCTGTTGCTGCTTAGGTTTTCTATACAGGAACTCCCTGAGTTAAGAACACCCAGGTTACAGATGACCCATAGTTAAGAACAGAGCCTATTGTAGCAAAAATTGAGTTAAATGCACAATGATTTGAGTTAATAACACAGTACTACTTATACAGTATTATACAGTAATACTGTTCTGACTTATGTACAAGTTCGACTTAAGGACAGATCTTGGGAATGGAACTCGTTCTTAAATGGGGGACTACCTGTGGTAGAAAATCTTGAATCCTTATGTGCTTGTTCATATTATCAACCAACTTTTCCCTAATGTGGTCCCCTCCAAAACTTCAGCTCCCACCATCTTGGGCTTCGTAGAGATAACTGGGTTTGTCGTTCAGTGCCTTGATTAGAAGGCTGTTGTGACTAAACAAAACAGGTTGCGTTCCTGTGAACCTTTCATGTTCAGGGACACCCAGGTAGTTCTCTTGCCCCATCCTTGTGTCTTTGAGCATGTCCCGTGAGAACCCCCCAAGCAAGGGAGTATCATTTGCAAGGGGGGGCTACGCTGAAGGTTCTTCCCTTTTATTTAGGTGGTTGCAAATGCAGTTGCGGCCCTCTCGGAGATCGCGGAGTCGCACCCCAGCAGCAACCTGCTTGACTTGAATCCGCAGTCCATCAACAAGCTGCTGACGGCTCTGAATGAGTGCACCGAATGGGGGCAGATCTTCATCTTAGACTGCCTGGCTAACTATATGCCCAAGGACGACCGTGAAGCTCAGAGGTATGAGCTGCAGCTTGGCTCACTTGCTCGAGTCCACTATGCAAGGAGAAGCACCCTGACGTGAAGTGCCCGTTCCTTGCTTGTGTGCCCAGTGGGAGCTTTTTAAAATTCACGCCTTTTCAGTCCCCTCCCAGCCAAGTCAGCATGGTTGGCTCTCACCGATACATAAAGTTACTGGGCTAAGTCACTGTGAAAACATAATGTGGAAAAAAAACAACAGAAGCTTTGAATAATAATGAGCCCCCCCCCCATTATTTTTGCAAAACTCAGGAGCCTGCTTTGAGAGACGATTTTCCTTGCAATGGAGGGGGAAAGGCTGGAGGAGGAGGATTCTGAAATATTCAGGATGTCAGCAGGGTAATTGTGTTTGAATGAGATCAAATTTAGTTTGGGCCTTGGCTCCGCCCATTCTTGGTATTGCTCCACCCATTTTTGAGAATGCTGCTCCACAGCCCAAGCATGATCTTTCATGCTTATCTCTTTTGATCTCCTCCTACCCACTTTCCAATGGCTAAGCCCATCTCACAGGGTTATTGTGGGGAACATAGGAGGCAGGAGTATTAGGTACATTCGCTGCCTTGAGTTATATATATAAAAAGGCAGGAAATAAATAATACAGGTAGTCCTCGTTTAACGGCCATTTGTTTAGCGACCGTTCAAAGTTACAGCGGTGCTGAAAAATGACTTATGACCAGTCCTCACACTTACGACAGTTGCAGTGTCCTGGGGTCACGTGATCACCATTTGTGACCTTCCCAGCCAGCTTCTGGCAAGCAAAATCAATAGGGAACCATGTGATTCACTTAACTGTGTGATTTGCTTAACGGCCATGGCAAAAATGGTCATAAAATCGGGTCCGGTCATGTGATGGTTCGGGTAATGACTGCTTCATTTAGTGATGAATTTTCCAGTCCTTATTGTGGTTGGTAGGCAAGGACTACCTGTCAGCTTTAGCAAGAAGTAGCTTGGAGAGAAAACTAGGCTTGGACCTCTGAGTTGGTAGAGAGCCTTGACCCTGCTTTACTTTTCCAGCATCTGCGAGCGGGTGACCCCCCGGCTGTCCCACGCCAACTCTGCTGTGGTCCTTTCGGCCGTGAAGGTGCTGATGAAGTTCACCGAGATGCTCTCGAAAGACCTAGATTATTACGGGACTTTGCTGAAGAAACTGGCCCCCCCTCTGGTCACCCTGCTCTCGGCCGAACCAGAGCTGCAGTACGTGGCTCTCCGGAACATCAACCTGATTGTGCAGAAAAGGTGACTGTCTCCCGCCGGCCAGGCGAAGGGCGGAAAAGGACGCGTGTGCCCAGCCCCAGACCAGCTGGCTTCACGCCCGAGCTGCTGAGATTGGTGGTGGCCTCTTGGGGGGGGTCGTACAGTATCTTGCCCTGTCGAGAACCTCATTGGCTCAGCCGCGCTCAAATCGAGCCAAGGTTAATAACAACCAAGCTTAGCCTGTTGTGTGAATGCCCAGCTAGTAGTCTCTTGTTGACCAGCCCCTGTGTGAGCCCCATCGCAGGGAGGGTTTTTGGCACGCAACAGTTTTTTAGGGCCTTGGGCAGCAACACAGGTTTTTCTGTTGGACATTTGAATAGAGAAGAGCAGGAAATAAACCGTGGGTAATGGAAAATATGTCTCAGCCGACGCCTCCTGTTTGGAAAGTTATTCAGCGTTTCAGATGCTGTTGAATCACAAGCAGCTGCTGAATCGTAAGCCCGAAAAAAATCAGTACTTGCCCCAGAGAGCTTACAATGCAGGTTTTAAAGAAGGAGAAGCAGGTTAGAGCCATTCTGGCCTAGTGGTGAAGGCGCCAGGCTAGAAAGCAGGAGACGTTGAGTTCTAGTCCTGCCTTAGGCACGAAAGCCGGCTGGGTGACTTTGGGCCAGTCCCCCTCTCTCAGCCCAGCCCACCTCACAGGATTGTTGTTGTGGGGAAAATAGGAGGAGTAAGGAGGATTAGGTCTGTTCGCCGCCTTGAGTTGACCAAAAATATATATTAAAAAGTGGGGGATAAAAATCTAATATTAAGAATAACAATTATCAAAGAGATGGTTGTCCCTCTGTTGGGATCACCATGTTTCTACTGATGCTTAAAAGATACTGTGCTTTTTTTGACAAGGTAAAAATGCTTTCCTCTTATAAATAGATGGAAAAAAATTATTACTGTTGCCTTTAATTAAACAGAGCAAAGGAAAAAAAAATCAGGGAAGGGAAGGGAGGTAGGGAAGAAGGGAAGAAAGAAGGAAGGGGGGAGGAAGGAAGGAGGGAGGGAGGGAAGGAGGGAGGAAAGTGAAAATACTTGTTTCTGTGTACAACTATTTTACACAGCCACTTTTCCACCTAACTGGGGTTTGCAGCTCTTGAACCATGGGTTTACCAATGAAAGCTGAAAAAGAGCTAACCAAGATTAACCCTAACCAAGCTTTACTTTCGGTACGAATGCAAGCCACCAGGTCTAATTGGTCAGGGCATGTGTGTTGTGCAGAGCCAACCCTGGTGAATGTGCACGCTAGTTGAAATAATACGTGGGGGAAGGGCTGAAAAACAGCTGTGCAACTCTTCCAGTGGGTCCCTGAGACCTTCTGGGTGGAGTAGTGCAGGGAAGTCGCCTTAGACGAGCAGCCGTAGGAGATATTTTGAGTTACCCAGATGCCTCTTGACTGGCCCATTGACTTCAGTGGGCCAAGAACAAGAGAGGAAAATTGCTCTTGAGAACAAGGGGATGGGTGAACACACTTTCTGTTCTTAGGCCCCTTTGAGCCTTTAGAACAAGTCGCCAAGTTTGAAAAACCCTGCTTTAGAAGGTCCTGACCTGGCTCCAACATTTCGTTATTTCATTATTCCCTTTCCCCTGTATTTCCCTTCTCCAGGCCTGAAATCCTCAAGCACGAGATGAAAGTCTTCTTTGTGAAGTACAATGACCCGATCTACGTCAAGCTGGAGAAGTTGGACATTATGATCCGCCTGGCGTCCCAGGCCAACATCGCCCAGGTAAAGTTCCTGAAGTAAAACCTTTGCCTGCCTCCCCCGCAGCTCTAAAATCCATCGAGGATCCCGTCAGAAGTTTGAGAGCTTCCAGAGTTTGATAAACTTGGCCAGGGTTGGTAGGCTGTTTGTGGAATACCTCACGAATACACTGGGCCCCTGCATATTTATTTTTTATTTATCCCTGGCTCTCTCCATCAGAAGAAAGTTCCTTCTTATTAAGAAGGAAGAAATCAGATTTGCAACAAAAGCGTGTGGAGTTTTGTGGGCTTTTAAGCAGAAGAGACCAGCATTTGTCTGAATCTTTATTTTTTGGATCCTTTTGCAAATCTCAAACTCGCCACACATCCTCATATCTCCTCAGGTTTCCAAAAGGATGTGTTTTTGCTTCCTTCCACTGAATTCCCACGTTCCTCTCGGAGGGAGGAGTTGCTGCGTTTGCACTAACACTTCAGGTCTCACTCCCCTTTCTGCTCCCTCGCAGGTGCTTGCAGAGTTAAAGGAATACGCAACAGAAGTGGATGTCGATTTTGTGCGGAAAGCTGTCCGGGCCATCGGCCGATGCGCCATTAAGGTTGAGGTGAGCCTCGACAAGATACAAGATGCATCTGAATAATGAATCGTAATTATAATGAATAATTTTCTGGAAGGCTGTGCGCCATCGCAGAAGCGTCTGTTTCACAGATACTGTCATGGTATGAGGGAAGGACCTTGATGTCAGCCTTACTAGGTAGACCAGATAGGAATCACCACCAGATGAGCTCATTCTACGTTATTGTAAAGCTACATTGACAGAATCTCGCAAGTCAGAAAGTACAGTTCTCCCCCCGTCTCCTTTACAGCCCCAGAAACTAGGGAGGGTCCCTTCTGAGCCTCTTGCCCCACTCGCTATCCAGCTGTGGGCTACACCCTCTCTTATCTGACTGTTCCCTTGGCAGCATCTCTTCGTCCCGTCTCCAAGGTCTTTCCCACATACTATTACAGATGCTCAGCTAGTTTTACTTAGAGTTTCTCTCATCCTTTTGAGCTGAAGAAGTGGTAGCCATCAACCAATCTTGGCTGATTTCCAAAAAGCGAAGCATGATTGGGCCTTGCTTAGGACTTGGGTGAGAAGTACTAGGAAATCAGCAGCTGTAGGATAGGGTTTCTCACTTTCCTCCCTCCCTCCCTCCCTCCAATTTATAGAGCCACCCATCTCACAACTGTGACTCTGGGTAGTGTTCAGAGATTAACACTACCACAACGGTACAAACTTCTGACACCCCAGTTAGACCCTAACCCCCAGCCCCAAACCGCGCCACCAGCAGAGCTCTTGCCACAAGATCGCGTGGATGTTCTTGGCTTTCCCCTTCCGTGAGCGATTGGAGCCTTCTCCAGCTTCTGGGCTGACCCAGCCTGTTTCTCTCTTTTCCTCTTTTCCCGTTTCAGCAATCAGCAGAGCGCTGTGTGAGCACGTTGCTGGATCTCATCCAGACCAAGGTCAACTACGTGGTGCAGGAAGCTATTGTGGTCATCAAGGACATTTTCCGCAAGTACCCAAACAAGTACGAGAACTCTCTTGGCTGAGCGACGGTGGCTCAGGGTTGAAGCCAAGTCCTGGATGCTGAACTTTACTCCCTTCTTTAGCAAAATTGCAGATCAGGACTTTTCCTTTTGTTGGAAAGCAGATGTGGGCAGGATTATTAGGGGGTCTTCCTTAACCAATTTGGCAGAATGTAAGGCATTCAAAACAAAATAAAGTTAGGCTGGGCCCCGCATGTAGCTTCCTCAGTCTTCCAATCCCTAGTCGATTTTTTTTCATTTGACATATATGTATTTTACTGAATTGGGGCCAGCCATGTATTAGGACTAGCTGAGTCCTGAGATTTTATTTTTTTGGAAAAAGGGGAAGGATGTCTGTTCTTCCTTAAGAACCAACCCAGATTGGCAAGCTGGAACAGACCAGAATTGGACTGAAGAAATTTCAAGGGTGGTGAAGTTCTCGGGACTTTGAGAAACTCCCAAGCAGTAGCAGCTGATTTCTAGAGATGCCCCATTCCAGAGGCACCTTGTGCCCATGTGATAACTCTATTCTCCATGAAAGATTATGGATAAGAAAAGGGGAGGTGGGTGGGAGGGCCACATATGAAATCCATATCCTATGATTCCAACCTTACTGGTTTAAAGTATAAGTGTACACAGATCACCAAAGGCATTGTTTACCTTCAAAAGAGGATCTCCTGTTTTGGGCTGAGGGGTCTCCTGGGATCCCCCAGGCTCTTGGCAACTGCCTGAACCCCAAGGGACTCCGATCAAGCATGGTTCTCATAGAGTCTTCTTTAGAGAGATTTCTTGGGAAGAAAGGTATTGGGGTTACAAGATTCCCAACAACGGGACTGCTTCCCATCTATTCCTAATATATTCCCCCCAAATGCATTAAGACAGCGACATCTTTATTTTCTTTTTAACTGCCTTCCTGTGAATGAGTGAACTGGCAGATCTTTTCACCGACAGCAAGGTGTAAAGGTGCGGCTGGTTGTTCACCTAACTGTCTCCTGCTTCTTGACCTGTCTGAGAGCAAGTCACTGCAGCTTGCAAGATCTCCTTGGTTGCATCAGAGGTTCCTGTCGTCTGCCCCCAGGTACGAAAGCGTGATCGCCACTCTGTGCGAGAACCTGGACTCCCTCGACGAACCAGAAGCCAGGGCTGCCATGATCTGGATCGTGGGAGAGTACGCAGAGCGCATCGACAATGCAGACGAGCTGCTGGAGAGTTTCTTGGAGGGCTTCCATGATGAAAGTACCCAGGTGCTGGGCCTCAGCTGATTGTGCCTGGGTTGAGGGGGGATGAAGAGTTTTTTCCTAGACATCAAAAAACGGTGGGTGCCCCAAACCACTGGAGTACGTTCCTGGAGGTGTCCTGCCCCCAGGATTTCAGTGCTGAGCGTGACGTGCAATGGGTCAGGTTGGTTTGTTTATTAAATTTCTCCCCCACCCATCTCCCCCCAATCCGGGAACTCTGGGCGACTCACCCAGAACATGAAAACCATAAATATATATAAATATATAAAACATTAATTTCTAAAAAAGGGAAAAGAGAGTCCAACCAAATGAAAAATCTGGGGCTGAAGACAGGAGGACTCTATGGGGCTAGCCATCCCCATGCTTGAGGTATTCCCTCCCCGCCCCAGGCCAAGTGGCAGAACCAGGTCTTCAAAGCCCTCCGGAAGGCCAGGAGGCTGGTGCGTTGGCACCTCCAAAAATGCCAATGACGTTGCCTCCAAAACGTCTTGAAAGCGAAACGCACTGTTTGGAGTGCCAAACGCATTGCCCCCTGCGCCGGTCTGGCTCTTTCCATCATTTTGGAAGTGCTTTGGATTTGAAACGGGGCCGGTCACGCTCCGTCCTTTAGCCGTTCTCCGTTCACCTCCGAACCGTTTCTTCCCCCCGTTCAGGTTCAGCTGCAGCTGCTGACGGCCATCGTGAAGCTCTTCCTGAAGAAGCCCACCGAGACGCAAGAGCTGGTGCAGCAAGTGCTGAGTTTGGCCACCCAGGTATCGCTCTTCGTCCCTGGCGCCCCAAGGGTCCCCTTCCAGCCTCCAGAAAAGCCTGTCAAAAGGCCCCATGGCCGTGTCGGGGCAGGAGAAAAACGAATGGATTGTCATCATCATCATCATCATCATCGGCAAAACTAAGCCAAATACAGACTTCCCAGTTCTGTGACTCTCCACCAGGCCAGTTCAAAATCAGTCCCAGTTGATGGTCACTCTTTGGGTTGGCTTCAGGACACTGAAAACTGTCCAAGTCCTCAGCATCCCTCAGCCTGGTGAGGGTTGATTGCACAGAGTGGGCAGAGGAAACGTCGTTTTTCCTTTTCTCAGAGGTGCTCAGGGCGACAAATAACGGGTGCTGAAAAGGCCCGAGTGTTTTTTTTTTTAATTGGAAAAAAACTTGGGGAAGACAGCTTTTCCCCTGATTTCATAATTGCAGGAACATTTACTCTCTACTCAGGGAATCACAACAACGACAGTAAGCTGCCTGATTCCCAGTGACTGGTGGGGAGAAGGGGGGAAATCTCCCTTAACTTTTTTCCCTACCTCCTGCACCTTCAGATCTCTGGTCGTGGATGTTCTTCAACACTGACTGTCTCCTTGACTTTCAAGCCCCTGACAAGTGGTGAAAAACAGACTCCCTCGAGTCATGTTGGAGTCCTGGTGGCTCCCTGGACATAACCATGTTTTTTCAGAATCAGTCTAGAAATGGTTTGCCAGTGTCCTCTTCTGAGATCTCTTTCTGACTTCCTATGGCCTCCAATCCTGGGATTTCCTATTCATCTCCCATTCAGGGACTAACCTGGCCTGGCCCAGCTTAGCATCCAAGCCCATCCACCTCGTTTAACCCTGGGGTAAATCTGTCTTCCTCTTCCCTTCCTTCCAACCTGTAGGATTCGGATAACCCCGACTTGAGGGACCGGGGCTACATCTACTGGCGCCTGCTCTCCACGGATCCTGTGGCGGCCAAGGAGGTGGTCCTGGCCGAAAAGCCTCTCATTTCTGAGGAGACGGACCTGATCGAGCCGACGCTGCTGGACGAGTTGATCTGCTACATCGGCACGCTGGCCTCGGTCTATCACAAGCCCCCGAGTGCATTCGTGGAGGGGAGCAGAGGGGTCACCCATAAAAGCCTCCCCCCCCGGACAGGCTCGTAAGTCGGACTCCGAAATCGCCATTGGTTAATTGATTACCTGACTTGCATTCGAGTGCTCCCCATTTTCCCTGACAGCAGCAACTCTTGAGGTGAGGTGGGGTGAGCTGAGAGACAGCTCCTGGCCCAAGGTCCCCCAGGGAGGTTCTCCCTGCTCCTTGCTGAGCACCTTAATGACTGTACCATAGTGGCTCTTGAGCTGAGAGAGCGTGACTGTCCCCAGGTCCATCATGGAGCTTCCATGCCTGAAGGGGGACTAAAACCTGGGTCTTGCACACTTGAGGGACTGGCTCAAGGTCTCCAGGGAGCTTCTGCATCTTAGGCAAGACCAAAACTCAAGTTTCTGCCCTCCTAGTCCAGCACCTTCACCAACTAGACGCATCATGGTTGGGTTGACATGTCGTACAAAGCCATAGTTGGTTTTACTGTGGCTTGCTGAATGAAGTTGGCTGAAATTCCAAACCCTAGTAGGCCGTAAGCCATGGATTACAAGCTACAGTGACTGGATTCACACCGCTGTAAAAGCCAACCAACTTACACGTTGGCTGATTGGGTTATGGGAAACTCAGCCCGTCGAAGAGGGTCACCATAATTTGTCAACAGAAGCTGTCTGAACTGTTTTATTCCTGTAGAAGTGAGTCAGGAGCCTGACTCGTATAATTCTTTAAAAAATCCATTTTGATCAGCCGTTCCTTGATGTGTTGGCTTTGGTTAGGAATTAATGGGTGAGACACCCAAGCGACAGTTGACAGAGGTGATTATTGTCTGGTATTTGCACTTTGGCTTAATTTTAAAAGGGCATGGGAACTTAAACGTTGCTTCAAAAGCTTTCCTGAAAGAAGGCGAGCTCGGAGGAAGGATTTGAAACTGCTGGAAGGCAGTTTACACAAGGTGGCTGCATTCACACAAAGCTGTGGTTAAGCTAAAAATGGGGCTGGACGGTTTGTGGCGCAGGGCGTTGTGGGAACCCTGTTCTAGTCTCGGCACGTCGTGCGAACTCTGCCATCTCATGTGATTTCTGTATTTTGGCATAGCCTGTTGGGTGAACCCAGCCATGGTGGGTTTGCCAAACGAGGTTAATGTGTTGGGTAAACCCAAGTTGTGTTAGGTAACAACTTGGAGCACCTAAAGAATAGCCTGTTCATAGTCAGATTGTGATGTATTATCTTGAACATAGCTTGTTAGGTAGAACCAACCATTGCTGTTTTTTAGGATTTAGTTTAGGGCAATGTTTCTCAACCTGGATAACTTTAAGAGGTGTTGGAATTCACACCCCCCAATTCCCCCCCCCCCCCACTTTTTGGGGTGTAGTTGCACCCCCCTTTAAATT